TCTGACTTATTTCACTTAGCATAATACTTTCTAGGTCCATCCATATTGTCACAAATGGCAAGATCTCATCCTTTTTATGGCTGAGTAATGTTCCATGGTATACATATATACCACATCTTCCTGACCCATTCATCATCTATGGATGGACCCTTGAATCGCTCCTATATCTTGGCTATTGTAAATAATGCTGCAATAAACATAGGACTGCATGTATCTTTTTGAATTAGTGTTTTCATTTTCTTTGGGTAAATAGAATTCCTGGGTCATATGGTAATTCTATCTCTAATTTTTTGAGGAACCTCCACACCGATTTCTGCACTGGCTGTACCAGTCTACATTCCCACCAACAGTGCATGAGGGTTCCTTTTTTTCCACATCCTCGCCAACACTTGTTATTTCATCTTTTTGATTCTAGCCATTCTGACAGGTGTGAGGTGATATCTCATTGTGGTTTTGATTTGCATTTCCCTGATGATGAGTGATGTTGAGCATCTTTTCACGTGTCTGTTGGCCATCTGCATGTCTTCTTTAGAAAAATGTCTATTCAGGTCCTCTGCCCCTTTTTTAATTGGATTATTTGGTTTTTGGTGTTGAGTCATGTAAGTGCTTTATATATTTTGGATATTAACACCTTATCGGATGTATCATTTACAAATATCTTCTCCCATTTGGTAGTTTTGTCAATTTTAGTTTTGTTGATTTCCTTCACTGTGCAGAAGCTTTTTATTTTGATGTAGTCCCAATGGTTTATTTTGGCTTGTTTCCCTTGTCTCAGGAGACATACCTAGAAAAATGCTGCCACTGTACCTTATAGTTTTAAGGGCTATTATAAATGCTATCTTTTTAAAAAATATATCATATTCTAAATGTTTTTTATAGGTTCATGGGCCTCCAACAATTTTTTTTTACTGGTCTTACAACCAGACATCTTTTAAAAATAGTAGCTCCAATAGTTTGTCTATCCTCATGAATGATTTTGTTTCCTCCTTTCCAATCCTATTACTACTTATTTATTTTTTCATATCTTATTGTACTTGCTGGTCTTCTAGGAAAGACTAGCAACATCTCCTTCCAGGAAAATGTTGGATATCAGGTATTCTTACCCTGTTCCAGACATTAAGAATTTACCTTTACCTGTTTCATCTTTAGGAATGGTGCTTGCTTTGGGGTTGGGATTTTATTTTATTTTATTTTACAGATTTTATTTATTTATTTGACAGAGAGAGACACAGCAAGAGAGGGAACACAAGCAGGGGGAGTGGGAGAGGGAGAAGCAGGCTTCCTGCAGAGCAAGGAGCCCGATGAGGGGCTCGATCCTAGGACCCCGGGATCATGACCTGAGCCGAAGGCAGACGTCCAACAACTGAGCCACCTAGGCGCCCTGGGATTTTATTTTTTTGATAGACTTCAATAAGTTAACAAACTTCCCTTCTGAATCTAATCCACTTTTTTTTTAAAAAGTCATAAATGGAGTTGTTTCATTTTATCAAATGATTTTTCTAAATCTACCAAGATTATCACATTTCTCCTTCAATTTGTTAATGTGATGAACTATATTAATACATTCTCTATGTTACCATTCTTGGTAAAAATTATTTGGTGATGACATGTTTTAATGCATTGCTGGATTCAACTTATTATTTCACTTAGACTTCTAGATGTAATTTCCTAAGTGATATTAGCCTATAATTTTTCTTTCTTCCATTTACTTCTTGGTATTTGTCTCAAAGTGTCTCATGGATGAATTGGGGGACATTTCCTCTTTTTTATTCTCTTTTAGGAGTTAAGCGAAAATTGAGTTTGGTTATTCTTTTGAGAGTAGTCACCTGGAAGACTGTGGGAGTCTAGGGGCACCTGGGTGGCTCAGATGGTTAAGCGTCTGCCTTCGGCTCAGGTCATGATCCCAGGTCCTGGGATCAAGCCCCACATTGGGCTCCTGGCTCAGTGGGGAGCCTGCTTCTCCCTCTGCCTCTCTCCCTGCTTATGCTCTCTCTCTCTCTCTCTCTCTCTCTCTCTCTGTATCTCTGTGTCTCAAATGAATAAATAAAATCTTAAAAAAAAAAAGATTGTGGGAGTCTATTGGTGATGTTTTGTTTCTTTGTTCTTTGGTGCATATATTTGAAACAACTGATTTAATTTCTCTCTATTCATAGTCTATTCAAATTCTATATGTCCTCTTGGCAATCTCTGGGAAGCTGTACTTTCTCAGAAATGTGTCCTGTTCTTCCAGGTCTTCAAATTTATTACCCCAGATCGTTCAATGTACTCTGATCTTTTAAACTTCTTATTATATCTATAATTATGGTACCTTTTATTCCTAATATGTGTATCTGCATCTTTTTTCTTGCTCAGTGTTTCCAGAAATGTCTATTTAATTAGCCTTTCACAGAAGTTAGAAATTTACCCTCAAGATACATCTCTAACAGTATCAAAACAACATGCCTAGGATTACCCATTCTGGCGTTCTTCATAACAGCAAAACAGTGGAAATAGTCTAAATGTCCACATGCAGGAAATTAGCTGAATAAATTATGATACTTCTACACAGCAGACTACCATATAGCTATTAAAAAGAAAGAATGAGGAAGACCTCTGTAAACTGATGGGCCATGATTTCCAGAATATGTCATTAAGTGGAAAAAAACATTGTGCAAAGAGTATATGTAGAATGCAACCTTTTGTATAAGAAAAAAAGAGAAATATGTTTGTATTTGCTTATTTTTACAAAAAGAAATAAGAAAGATAAAATTGTCTACCTACAGAGGACGGGTGGCCAGGACATAGAAGGGATACGGAGGGGAATGGGATTTGTACCATGCCTTTTTTACACAGCTTTGACTTCTGAACGATGTTAACATTTTACAAGTTTCAAAAAACAAGTCAATAAGAACGGGGAAGCAACTAAAACTGAATGCCAACAACGACAAATAAACCTAACTGTATATCAAACAAATAACAACTACACATTAATTCAAATAACTTTTGAACACAATTCTCTGCATACTCTCAGTAGGATATATTCTAAGAACTTCAAAGAAATCTTGAGTTTCACTTAATACACTTATGGGGAGTAGGGCTGATGTAGTAATTCTGAAATTCTTTCATTCATGTATAAGATTTGGTAAGAGAGTACGTATATGGCTACTGGATTCCCATTCAGGGAGAAGGGAGATGTAAATATGAAATGCGAGGAGTGCAAGACCTCTAAGATGCTGGACTGGAATTATTGGCATGAACCCATCCTTTTGAAGTTGTATCTCCTAGCTCTGAATGCTAAAAGGGCCTAGAAACAATGACTCTCTAGTAACAGTGAGCACACCTCGCATTCAGATCTTGGTATCCAAATACCATTCTCTGAACGGAATGAGAGCTCTTTGGAGAAATGCACGATTCCAGGACTGGGGCACAGAAACTACAAGATGAGTCTGGAATATCCATATATTGTGCCCAAAAGTTTTGAAGTTCTCAAAGGATACGGAGGACACATCAGATGGACAGAGAAACTGCTTTAAAGGGTTCCTCTTCATCACATTTGGCACAATTTATATATCAAAATGAATAATAACAGAAGTAAATTGTTACTGAATACAAAAAATGCACTGACCATACTGATCATTTAAAAAACATTAAAGGGAGAGGCAGAAGGGGGAAAAGCTCTTATTCACAGGAGGGGGCCTGCAAATAAATATAAAAAGGAATGATATCTATGAAATACATAGGAAACTTTGAGAGTGGGTAATGACTCTGTTCCCAATCAGGTTTTCACTCATGGTTTTAGCATCTGTTGGTCACTCTTTTCTTTTTTTCAGTTTTAGGCTAATATGAAGAAAGCGACTATAAACATTTGTGAATGTATTCATTTCTCTTGAAGTAAGTGCCTAAAAGCACAGTTGCTGGCTCACACTGGATTTAAGTGTATGTTTCACTTTATAAGAGACCACATACCATTTCACACACACCCATCCCGATCCTGGTTCTAGGATCACGCGCTGCCTTTCATTGTTCTCTCTTTAACCTTGGGTTATCAGCCAGGAGAAATGAGGGGAAACATCCTCTAAAGGACTTGTACAATCATATGCAAAGCCACACTGTTTTTTGTGAACTCCAAACCAGAACCAGCCCAAATGTTCACCCAAAGTAGGATGGATAAATAAATTTTGATACAGTTATAACAATGGGGATATGATGCAGTCAGCAAGGAGAAAAGAACCAATTAATACCACATGCAACAATATGGATGAGTCTCACCAACAATTTTGAGTGAAAGAAGCCAGACCAAAACAGGTACATCCTGATGATTCCATTCATATAAAATTCAGTAATAGGCCAAACTGGAACACAGTGAAGGAAGTCAGAAAAGTGATTTCCTGTAGGACTGAGGTGTGCAGGAGAGGTTCCTGATATGCTGCCAATACTCTAAATCTACCTAAGTGTGCATTACTTGGATGTGCTTGCTTTGTGAAAACTTACCAGGCTGTACATTTATGATGAATGTGCCTTTCTGTACATTAGTTTTGCTCATATATATATATTTTAAATATATATAAAAATAAATTTATATTTATATATATATATATTTTTTTTAAAAGAGCCAACTTAACCCTGATGCCAAAACTAAGCAAAAAGAATAATGAATCCTTTCTGAATTCATTTTAAACTTTAGGTTTCAGAAGGTGTGCTTATTTTCTGACTTCCTAAGCTTTTGGGGAAAACTTCCCTGTGACTAGCACGTCCTAGTGACAATACTCGGGAGGGGAGCGTACAGGGAGAAAGGCACTCCGAGGCTCCGTGTTGGGTGCACATCGGCCCGCACGTCTTTATGGAAAGAAATTTGACAATACACATCTAGAGAATTAAAAAGACTTACACACCACTTTATCTGATAATTCCCCTCCAGGAATGTATCCTAAATCAACATCTCAAATATTTATGAACAATGATGTAAAGTTATACAATAAAAAATGTTTTAGAAAAGAAAAACCTTTGAAGGTAATACTTACAATTGGCGTTCCAAAAGGAATGTAACCTGCGAGGCGAGAGAAGAGGGTCAGGTCTTCCAGTCCCACCCCACTCCACCCCAACCACCTCTCAACAGAGACAGTGGGAGAGACCTCCGGGTTTTGTCTTGTCAATGGCCCTGATGGGGCACCTCCACCCCCAGACCTTTTCCTGACTCAGCCCTCCAGGATAGAAGGCTCCCCTGTGTCCCTCCACCGCCCTCTCTCTGTCCCCCTTTAGCCAGACACTTCTCACTTGCCTCCAAAACTCAGAGGCCCATTGCTGAGGGCAGGGCTGCCCACTGCTGGGGGGCCACCATGCTACACTCAGCGCTCCTCCCATGATTTCCTCCATGAGGTACGACGTCCCCAGCCCACACTCACTACACACACTACGCTGTCCTCACAGGCCCTGTAATGCCCTCCTTCTCTCACCTTGCCTTTCGAGCACACATCTTTACTTCCCCGGCATCATGACCGATTCTGGAAAGGGAACTCCCCACGCACTTGAGATGTGTACCTCGACGTGCCACAGGTCCTCTGTAACTTTCTCGTACCCTGGCTGGACATCCTCAGTAGGGCAGGAGAGAGCACCCCACCCTGCTGTCAGTGGGCGGCCTTGTGTCCCTGACTCTGACTTATGGCAGCCAGTCAGACGGTGGTGGGACAGTGGACAACCACGCTTATCTGAGTTCTCTAAAGTAAAGGTTCATGTCCAGAGTGTGTAACTGTGCATGCACATGAGCTGTCATGTCACTCTACCGCCCACATTCCTCTGGAGACAGATCCAAGGTTTGCCTGGACAGTGACAAGAGAATCCAGGCCCCAAGTGAGAACCTGCTGTGGCCACGTGCAGGGACTGGGAGCACCTACAGCCATGGCTACAAGACGCTCTGGCCTTTGTGCTTGGGAGTTCCTCACGGCCAAGCAAGGAGGATCCCCGGGCACACAGGGCCTCAGTTGGCACAGTGATGAAACATGGTTGTTTTTTCTCTCACCCACATGAGGTCAGGCTCTCTGGGGGTGGGGATCCTGACTGACCCAGCTGGGAACAGCCCCCGATAGAGACCCTTTCTCCCCTCCCCTGAGGACTTTCCAAGGCAGTAGCCAGGAGCCCTCCACCCAACCCTGCAAGAGTGCCCCAGTGCACTGAGAAATGGCAGGGAGGAGGCATCAGCACTCTGCCGTGGGACTCTGCACAAGGCCTGCAACCTCTCAGAACTACAGGTAGGACAGACACACTAGCCCCAGGCACGGTGCGTGCAAGCGCTTTCTAGGCTACTAAGCTCATGCATACAGAGCTATCCCTCCAGTGACCACAGGGCAGGGACTTCCTGGCCGCAGGGATCTTATGGCCACTCTCCCACCCCACCCCCTCTGCCACTGGTCTCCACAGAATGGGGATCCACCTCCCATGTGGGCACTCATGCAAATGCAGTGCATGCTTTCTGGAGTAGAGGGGAGCCTGGGGCTTAATTGCCTTTAAGGGAACATGGTTTGGAAGGAAAAAGCAGAGTGTGCACAGGTAGGTAAGGGAGGAGTGACTCACAGAAGGCAGGGCTTGCCCGAATCCGGGAGTCACCCCCGAGGCTGCCGCTCAGTGAGTACTGTATAACTGGGCGGGGAGCGCCACATTCCCCTGTGGAGGCCTCCCCCCCACCCCCACTGCTCAGGCAGAAAAAGCAGACAGGCACGTTTTTCTTAAAGCCCCATAGGTGATTCTGAGGCCTGGCCAGAGGTCTGTCAGGTCGAGCCAAGGTGAATATGCAGGTGCAAATGTGGCCACATGTATCACAGATTCTGCCCTTCCTCAGCTTGCTGCATCTGGATGCTCCCGGAGCTGTGACCATGGTAAGTGCCCGAGGCTAGGCAGAATCAGAAGGGTCCCACCGGCTTACCTGACATTCTAAAGGGCATGAAGATCTTCTCATTGGTATCTGGGTGTAGAATAGCCTGGCAAGAGCAGGAAACAAGGCACAGGGTGACTGTGGGCAGCAGTGGGGGAGCAGACAAGGGGACAGGAGAGGGAGGAAGGAGGGAAAGGAGAGCTCCTCCAGAAGGACTGGGCAGTCAATCCTTTCCCATCATTCCAGGCAAGAGAAAACCAAAACACGGGCCACCAACAGGGCTTTTCCTGACTCACGCTTAAAGCTGAACGCAGGGGAATGGGACTGCATCTACCTTGCAGGTCCTCTGTCCCCCATGCCTGGTATTTAGTAGGCATGTAAGAAGGATTTCGTAGAAGGACCCCACAGGGAAGGAGCTCAGGGGCCCAGGGAAAGGCAAGGGGCCGAGCTCCGGCAGTCAGAAACTCAGGCCCCGGTATTAGGGAGGAAGGAAGGGTGAGGCAGCTGGGCTGGCAGCTGGGGGCTAATGGGAGGGGAAAGGCTGAGCCGCACAGCCGTGAATCCCGACAGGGCAGGGCAAAGGAAGGAAACAAATCCAAAACTGAATTACCTGCTTGATTTTCTGTGCACTCCAGAGCTGCAAGGAAGGAAGGATGGGAGAGAGAGGAAAAAGAAAAAGAAAAGAAAGGACAAAAATTAAAAGCATTTATCAATTTAAGGTCTCATAAGCCACATTTTTTTAACCAAGAGACCCAGCTCCAAAGGGCATTAAGAGGCTCAGCTTGTCCTGGTGCCCCCAGGCCTGGTAGCTTCCCTGGGACTGTGGCATCAGGCATCCCAGGACAGCAGAACCAGGGGATCTCACGCAGACCATCCAAACCAGGGGTTCTCTATTCTGGCTGCGCTGTAAAATTACTTGAAAAATTCTTCCAGCAATTTTCTAGTTAATTCTAAGGTTTCAGTGAAGACACTTGAGTACGTCTCCCGGAATCACTAGAAGCAGCAAAGCATGGATTTTTCAAAGCTGGACAGACTGCCTGGATTCCTGGCTTTGCCCCTCCTTCCTCTGAACCTCCATTTCCTCACTTGTACAATGCGGGTAATAGCAGTGTCTCCACCATCGTGGAAGAGGTGTAGGAAAGGTGCCTGGAGCAATGCTGGGCAGAGTAGGTGCTTCACCGCTGCTGACTGCTGTGGGTATTATTATCCCTATTGTTGTAGTTGTTATAAGAAGGTTACAAGGAGAAGAAAGTTGCTTTCAAATAAGCGGTGAGGTTTTCTCTCCAGCACAGTGTGGGAGACAGGCTGGACGGACAGAACCATTGCCAATTCCTTCAAATGATATAAACACTGCATCTCATTGAGTCTAAGATATCAGCGACCCTAAGATGCACTATCATGTGCCACCAAGAAGGAAAACTATAACATAATCCCAAAACCTCCGTCCATTAAAAGACTCATCCCATTTGAGAGACGTTAAAATGTGGTAAGAGAAACTTTTGGAACCAAGAAAACATAGTAAATAAAAATGTACATGTGGGCAAAGCAAAGGCAGTGCGTTTTTAAAGGAGCAAGAAAGTATGAGGTGAGAGAGGGAGGTGGCCAGCAGTTGATGTTAGTTTTACAACAGAATGGTTCAGTTATGCTTCAGTTATGTGGCACTGTTGTCATCTGGAACATAAATTAGGCTGCAGGGGGCGCCTGGCTGGCTCAGTCATTGGCGCGTCTGCCTTCGGCTCAGGTTATGATCCTGGGGTCCTGGGATCGAGCCCCACATCGGGGGCTCCCTGCTTAGCAGGAAGCCTGCTTCTCTCTCCCCCACTCCCCCTGCTTGTGTTCCCTCTCTCTCTGTCTCTCTCTCTCTGTCAAATAAATAAATAAATAATCCTAAAAAATAAAAAATAAATAAATTAGGCTGCAGAAGGCCATCAGGTAGCAGAAACAGAAGCATAAGATTGATGAATTCACATTTATGCATTTTACTCACATCAGAGTCCTTCAACCCTTAATTCACAGCCTAATTACCCTTATTTTAGATATATTTCACATATTTGATTGTTTGCGATTCCAGACCCACAAAGATTGAAGTGGTCGATTTTTTTAAAATAATAATTATGGGAAAAGGGGACTGAAGGGAGAAAAACCAAATGCAGAATTGCTGTTGGCCAAAGAAGGTAAGTCAGAGCGTAACAGCAAAGAGGTAAAACAAAGTGATAAAAGGCTGATCCCCTTTGCTCAGAAAGTGCCTCCAATCCCAGCACCAACTTTGGTGCGACCCCAGGCCCTGTGCACAGACTCCTGACACCCCGTATTTCCCACCAGGATCAGAATCTCCTATTTCTAGGTCCAGCTCCTTGGAGGCAGGAGCTTGTCTTCCAAGGCTGTCACCCAGCATCTCCCACAGTGCTCGGCACACAGAAAATCCAAAGCTATTCTAAAATTAAAATTTTATTTAAAAAAACCATGCAGATCTCTTCATACAATTCAGAAGGAAGGAAGGAAGGAAAGAAGGAAGGAAGGAAGGAAGGAAGGAAGGAAGGATCCAGTGGAGGCTGGTGGGGCAGCAAAGCCATGAGATGAAGGAGCCCAGGCCCTGGACGATGGCCTGTGCCCAGTTCCCGAGCAGCACTGGACTCAGACATGAGAAAGAAACAGACCTTTGTGTGTAAGTTCCTGAAATCTGGGGTTGTTTGTTACAGTGCTTGGCTCACCCTGACTAATACAGAGGTTTAAATGAGATGTGTATATCTAAAATACTCAGCCTATAGAACATGCTCCATGAATGCCTAAAACAGAGAAGTCATTCAAATGAGCAATATATTTTTTAACAGACTTGATTATTTTTCAAAGCAACTTCATCTCTATTGTCTTACTGCTACAACACGCCTGTGAGGTGGACAGATTATTTTCAGACAAGCAAACTCATCTCAGAGAGACTAAGTAATTCAGCAGGGTCCTAGGAGCTGGTGGCAGGATGGAGATGGGCCGCCAGGCCTCCTGGCCTCTAGGCTCGTGTTCTCCCTACTCTCCAGGGGCCTCTGAAGCAGATCGATGTCTGGTCTGGCTGGAGTGACTGCCAGGCCTGAGGCGCGAGAAGAGGAAGAGGGTTAGCTGACATCTTCCTGGGGTCCCAGAAACTCCTCCTTGCAGCCCAGGGGCTAATGCCCCTCGCCAGTACCTGCTGCTCCCCTCCTGCCCAAGTCCAGCTGAGTAGCACAGTGCTGGCAACCCATGGGCACATCCAAGCCCCTCAGGTTCAAGGACTGCCCCCTCCACCCCCACCCCCCCAGGAGCAGGGATGGGAAAAGTAGGCGGATGCTGCTCATCCGCAAAGGCAGAAGTTCAGCAAGGGTGTCACCAGGCCAGGCCAGGGACCCAGAGCTACAGAGGTGTTCCCCACCCTGCAATGACACCACCACACCCACAGCCCCGGGCAGGCCCGTGCCACGGAGACGAGGCAACGACAAAGCCTCACACGCTAATTCCATGCTTCTCCCTTTGGCTGAGCACCTTTCCGCCCATTATCTGATTTTCACCCTTGGAAACCTGTTCTACAGGCCAGATGAGGAAACCCAGCTCAGAGTCACCTCCAAGGTGTCGGGCAGAGCCAGAACAAGAGCTCATGACCTCTCGGATTCATTCATCCTCACTCATTCATTCACATTTAGCGAACAGGCGCCGTGTGTCGGACGTCCTTCTGAGGGCTTTGTACATATTGACTTATCTAATCTCCTCAACAACCCCATGAGGCAGGAGATAGTCTATCCCCCACTTTGTTGATACGGAGACTGAGGCACAGACAACGGACATGACTTGCCCACAGTCCCACAGCAGCACTGGGATCTGAACCCTAGCAGTCTGGTTCCCGAATCCCCACTCTCGACCGCCACCTGCACCTGTCTCTAAATGTTAGCACACTGGTGCTGGTTGGTCTGTCCCTTTAGGCATCTACATGTTGTAGAGATCTTTCCATATCGGGGGGCAGAGAGCAGCCCTCTGCTTCCTAACAGAAACCTTGAATGAATATATTGTAAACTGTACCCTATGAGTGGACTTTTAGGCTATTCTCCATCTTTTTTTTTTCTTGTGGAAAAATATACATAATTGAACATTTACCATCCTAACCATTTTTAAGTGGCAGCTCCATGGCATTAAGTACACTCACACCAGTGTACCGCCATCCATCATCCACCTCCTTTTCATACACCCCATCTGGAACTCCGTACCCAATAAGTCCTAACACTTTATTCCTCCCTCCCCCAGCTCCCGGCACCTACCATCCTCCTCTCTGTGAATCTGACCGCTCTAGCTATTTCCTATAAGTAGAATCATCTGGCATTTGTCCTTTAGTGACTGTCCCATCTTTTACTATTATGACTATGCTCCAGTGACTTTCCCTGAACTTGTCATTATCATACCATCAGCATATAAAGAAAAAGGATAAATGTATGCAGATATCTCTGGCAGGATACAGAAGAAACTAAAGGTTACTCTAGGGAGAGGAAGGGGAGCAATTGGGGAAACTTATTTTTTATCCTCTACTCGTTTTATAGCTTAGAAGTTTGTAGATTGTTCGTATGTTCCCCATTCAAAATAATCGGTAAAAAATTAAGAGTAATCACTAGAAAAAGAGAAATAGGGTGCACAACTTCTAAACTCTTTATTGACCTCTATGGCACAGACTGTTAAGTGTCCAACAAAATCTATGTCCCCTTCTTCCAAAATAATAGAACAGTGGTGGGCAGGTGGCCGACCTACCGTGCTGTATTTCCCAGCCTCCTCTGCAGTTAGGCTCATCCATGTGCCTGAGTTGCCCAGTGGCATCTGAGGGGAAGAAAGATGGGCTTCTCCCTGGCCAGCACCTGCCACCCCCCAACCATGCTTTTTGCCCCCTTCCTGCGAGCTGGAGCACGTGCGTGGCTGCAGCCCGGGCTGGAAAGACAGCCCAAGGAGATGGGGGAGAAACATGATGGAAGGAGGCTGGGGGCCCTGAGTGATCCTGTGGAGCTGAGCCATCTGCCCACCTGGAACTTGAACTGTTTGATGGGAGAGAAAGAAACTTCCTAACTTACTTGAGCTGGTACATTTTGAGATCTTTTTGTTACAGCAGTTAGTATAACCCTAACTAAGATAAGCCATTTGGGATTATAGGAAATCGCCTCCCATGATACAGAAGAAGGAATGAAACCAAAAGTAGTGTCTGTGACATCCAGCAATGCTCCCAGCTCAGCAGGCAGGTGAGATGGGAGGAACATCTCCATTTTAAACTAAAATTCCTAGTCATGACCTGATCTTGTTTGGGCTCATCCATCTCTAGGCTGCAACAACAACAGTTAGTCATGGATTTCGGTTTTGGCTCAGCCACTAATGTGCATGGTCTCCTGTGCAAGCCATTGCACACCTTAGGCTTAGTTTTTTTTTTGTTTTTTTTTTTAATTAATCAAGCAGGAAAAAGGGCAGGAAGCGCCCCTTCCTGTGTGATGATGCCAGACCCAGCCCGTACAGAGAACAGGACAAGGACTCAGGTCTGACACCTTGGGTCTGGGCTTTTCCCTGGAACCCACTGGACCTATGAGTCAGATGCTGGAGGCAGGAATGGCAGCAGAACCCCAAGCCAAGAGCTGCTTGCTAGCTTGA